GATATTTTCTAATTAAAAAGAAAAAAATCTTAAATCTGCAAAATGCCTTGTACCGCCTTTTCTATGTATTATCTACTTTTAATTAAAACTTGCTCTGCAAAGCTGTGTCAGATCAACAGCATGGAAATAATGTGTTTTGATGGGAAGGCCCGCTTTGCTCCTACTCTGGGGGACGGAGGGTTGCGGGGAGTGAGAGGATGCCAAACAACAGACTGAGGCAGGACATAAATCAAATCTCTCTGGAGATAATAGGGCTCGCAAGCATACACACACAGCATACACAGAGTGTTTTCTGGGGTATGCAAGAGCTTCGGCACCTCCATCAGCAGGTTAATGACTTTAGAACGCCGTTAGAACACAAGCATGCAGAGTAATTACAAGACCTGGATGGTAATTTAAATGAAGAGTGTTAGATGCTTAATTGTTGGGGAGTTTAAAAAGATTTTGAAAAATATTTTCTGGTGTTGTGTGATCTATGTATATATTACCTTCCTTTATTCTCTTAAAAACAGAGTCAAGTGGTTAAAGACTGTTCAAAATCAGAATGACAGGGGATATCTCGGAGGCAAAAACCTTACCCAAATCCAAAAACCTTTAACATTCCCTTCTGCTCTGCTGTCAGTGCTCATGCATGATTTGACATTCTGGTTGGAGAGCCCAAAGGTAGAGCAGCAAAGACAGAAAATAGTCTCCTGCTGGTTGGCTTTGGCCTCAGTCTATTAAATTGCTTAATATTCTAACCTGAATATTCTGACCTGTTTGCAGATGTCAAACAATTCAGATAAAGTGTAAACTTTATCTTTGCCACTCTAGCTGGTTCATGAGGATTCAGGCATGGAACCAAAGAGTCAAGAAGTTGGTGATTTTTAGAGGAAACTAAAAATGCTGTAAGGCAGGTAATCCAAGAACAGCAATCAGAGCAGAAAACAAAGAACTCTACTGGTAACAGAGCTGGTATAGCACAGGAACTGGTGTGTTTTCATTTCCATATTTCGCAAGTTATCAAAAGCTGCTTCTCTTCTGCTTTCTTTTTCACTTCATCCTCTGGGATCTGAAACAGTTTCAAGGCCAGATGGGATAATCCCTCCACTGTGTTTGGTTTGCATCAGGATTTTATCCGGTTACACTTGGATAGAAAATCCGCCTGTTGAGGAAAGTAAGAGAGCTGCTTAGGCATCTTTCACCTCTGAAACACACACAGTCCAGTCCCATGATGACCAGATTGTCCATTCAAACAGTCTCAAGCGTGGAGTCAGATGGAGCATAATGTGACAATATAAACACCTTCTGATTACTTAGAAAATACTGTATGTTCATTTAAAAAAATGTTTTGTTCCTTCATTCATTCATTCCGTTTTCTATCATGGGAAACCAACTTAACTTTTTACCTTATCTTTTTTAAAATGTTGGTGAGAAACCCATCCATCCATCCTGGCCGAGTCGCAGGGCAGGGGTGCCTCCAGAAAATGTTGATGGGGTGGCCGGATGGGGCCAAAGAAATTTTTGGGGTGGCAAACCAAATCGGTTCTTGTTGTAACTCTGGGAGCGATGTACTGCATTGTTCCTTTATTCGTTTTTATTAAGAAAACAGTACATATCCAAAACATTGTCTTACATTTTACAAACACAAACGTTTCTGAAAAAAAAAAACATTTCGGTTATTTCAAATGTTTTTTTTCAAATTTCATTTTAAAAAGTTTTTTTTTTGTTTAATTCACCTGTTGCTGTGTTCACAAAAAAAACTATGGAGATAAAAACTTTTTAAAATGGTGAGCAGTAGAAACATGTATTATTTTTTATTCTGATCATTTATTTACTCATTAATTGTATTATTTTTATTTTGTTTTACAATTATGTCTTGAATAAATAAGATAATTTTATAGTTTGAGTGAACACTAATTATGATTCATTAACACTGGCTTTTGCTGGGGGGTAATTTTCACTCTCTTGGGGGCGCCATTAACACTGTGGCTGGTGCCTTTCTCCAGCAGTCTCCAGGCATGTGGGCAGGGCACACCCTGGACAGGTACCCAGTCCATTGCAGGGCAACACAGAGACACACAAGACAACCAACCAAGCACACACTCACACCTAGGATAACTTAGAGAGACCAGTGAACCTGACAGTTATGTTTTTGGACTGTGGGAGGAAGCCAGAGTACCCAGAGAGAACCCACGCATGCACAGGAATAACATGCGACCTTCATGCAGAAAGACCCCAGGTCGGGAATTGAACTCAGAACCATCTTGCTGCAAGGCAGCAGCACTAACCAGTGCACCACTCTAGTTAGAATCCATTTAACCCAAAATAAGAAAATTAAATGAAAAAAAAAAGATTACTACCTGATGGTGGCAATAGCAAAATGGTCAATTATGCACAACAAAGTGATTTTTTTTATATATTTACATGAGACAGACTCAGATTTTAGATTTCTAGTGGATTAAGTGGTTGCTGCAGAGCAAATATCAGAAAACAAATCATAAATCCCACGAATCACTTTGTTTATGAAGCGAGGACCATGGGATTTATAAACTGCTGCTTCTCTGCCGTGTAGTAGCAGCACCAATACGTTTCCTGTTTGTAGGCTAATAAGAACACTGGGTGAAAATTAGATTTGTAATTTATTTACAATTTTTTGTTTACATTTTGGATTACAAATAATAAATTGTGATTTTTTAAAGGACAGAAAAGTGGGAAAATATGTTTTCTGTAACTTGGATGAATTAAGCATTTGAGTATATAACATAATAAAACGTATAAAGGGCTCATCAGGTGCAAGAACATGTTAGTCTTTCATGAATATTTGAATAGACTACCTTTTTTGACAGCTCATCCTCAATGAAAGGAAATCTGCTGCTCTAACAAATACTGGGCAGTTTTTGTCTTGGAGAGTGCAAGTTTGGACTCATCCTCTACATATGCAATAAATTACCTTCCACCTGCCTCTAACACGTCGAGATGGCTTGCCAGCTGTCATTGGCTGGGCTTTTGTTTGATCTGATCCTTGAGCTGAAAACTCCAGACATTTGTGTCCATCCTGGCTCATGAATACAAATTAGTCCAGAGTCCGGGCATTTTGAGTAGTTCATTATCTCACTACAAAATGTGTGGATAATCACCAAAAATGGTAAAGATATTAGAGGAATAAATCTTTTTATGCAGCAGAAAGTTCCATTTGGCAAAGCATACAGAGATTTTTTTTTCTCCAACGCCTTGGCTCGATGTGAGCTCAATTTGGCCTTATTAAACTAAATGTGTCACATTTTTATTCTGGGCTGCAGTCGTGTCTCACTTTCAATATCCAAGTTATGACCTCCCTCTTAAACGCTTAATTTAAAAAATGTTTATCATCACTTCAGAAAACCCAACCCAACTGATTTTCTAATGAAAGCCTAATAATCAGAAATTGGTCCTTTTAATTTTATTTTCACTCATCACTTTGAAAATCCCTAAATGTATTCATTTGTCAGTCTCAGATGCAGAACTGCTCTTGGTGCATAATTATTGTAGTGATAAAGACAAACAGCTTGTAATCCATCAAAGAGGTATTAAAACTAATGGGAAAACAGCTGATAAATGCACTACTTTCCCAAGCACAGAAAAATGAAAAGGCATGTTACAAAGATTAAGTTAACACGTGTTTGAGGAAAACTATTGTTGTAAAAATGAGAGTGAAATTAGTCCTCTTTATGCAAATCTCAGCAGTGTTTTAAACGTGAGATAGCCGCAGAGGAGAAGAACAAATCGTTCAAGGCTTCAGATATTTGTAAAGGAAGCCCATATCTGACATCTGTATCTACATAACAAAACAAAAGAACTGTGACTCTGTCAGAAAGGGGGAAAAAGGAAATGAAATACTCTTTCTTTGATGTAATCCACATGTTTTATTCATCAGGAGCTTACTGTGAGATTTGTGGTTTGTTCATCTGAAGCTTGTTGAGCTGTTTAGCACTAATTCTCCCTGATCTATTGGTAATATATATATATATATATATATATATATATATATATTGCGTAAACAACAATGCCTTATTGTTTCAATCTGATTGCTAACGGGTCTGTTATACACCCACAAACAGAGTTTAATTAGATTAAACATCACTCTGCAGTCAAGGCCAAAGTCTTGATTAAACTGGACACACTGAGTTATTATGATTAAGCTTAGTGTTTATGGGCTAATGAGTCCATCTTACCTGTAAATCGATAAAGGACACCTCAAGGACCATTTTCATAAGAACAGGCTTGTGTTGCACAATGAATTTTCTCCTGCTTCCACTCAGTGATTAATTAGGTTCAATACCGGTATTGAGCTGAGCCATTTAGTTTGTGCAGAAAAACGTGAAGCTCCTAATAGTCGTTTCAAATTCAAATGTCTCTTTTACTCTCTGAAAACATTCCCAGCCAAAGCTTACTGGTCTTTCGGATGTGGTACAACATCAAACATGTCCTTGAGTGGACGTTTTTATCACGCCGTCTCACGCCGGGAAGAGTTCCTCATCGCTCATCCCATTGTTCATCAGAATCTCCCGGCACCCAAGGGTTCACAGATGGGAAACACCTCACACAGCACATTTGTTCAGATGGAAGTTCATTACTCTCCTTCATGGCACTGCTACTCTGTTTCCTGTACTTTTTTTTTCTGTGAGATGCTTGGGGTTCTGGGCAAAAACAAAGTACCGTACTTATCGTGACTGTATGTATTTTCCCTGGCGATAGGGGGCAGTACATACCTAAATTATTGCAACCAACGGATGGCCATTAGGGCCAAAAATCCCTGGGAGTGCAACCTCCACCAAAATGACAAGCACATCTGACTCCCTTTCAACACTGACAGCAAGTGAAGAGGTAAATAAAACAATGATATTTATGAATGGCAAAAGTTTTGTAACTGTTAGTTACAAATCAGTAAAGAAGTATAAATAAGGCTTTACTCCCGTTATTATGCAACCAGGAAACCACTTAGCATCATGATTCTTTAGACAAAGGGGGCTTAAAATTACAGGTGCTGGCCAGTAAATTAGAATATCATCAAAAGGTTGAAAATATTTCAGTAATTCCATTCAAAACGTGAAACTTGTACATTATATTCATGCAATGCACACAGACCAATGTATTTCCAATGTTCATTACATTTAAATTTGATATTTATAGGTGACAACCAATGAAAACATCAAATCTGGTATCTCAGAAAATTAGAATATTCTAAAGGCCAATGAAAAAATGTTTGTTTCTCTAATGTTGGCCAACTGAAAAGAATGAACATGAAAAGAATGTGCATGTATAGCACTCAATACTTAGTCGGGGCTCCTTTTGCCTCAATAACTGCAGTAATGCGGCGTGGCATGGACTCGATCAGTCTGTGGCACTGCTCAGGTGTTATGAGAGCCCAGGTTGCTCTGATAGTCGTCTTCAGCTCCTCTGCATTGTTGGGTCTAGCGTATTGCATCCTCCGCTTCACAATACCCCATAGATTTTCTATGGGGTTAAGGTCAGGCGAGTTTGCTGGCCAATCAAGGACAGGGATACCATGGTCCTTGAACCAGGTGCTGGTGGTTTTGGCACTGTGTGCAGGTGCCAAGTCCTGTTGAAAGGTGAAGTCTGCATCCCCATAAAGTTGGTCAGCAGCAGGAAGCATGAAGTGCTCTAGAACTTCCTGGTAGACGGCTGCATTGACCCTGGACCTCAGGAAACAGAGTGGGCCAACACCGGCAGATGACATGGCACCCCACACCATCACTGACGGTGGAAACTTTACACTGGACCTCATGCAACGTGGATTCTGTGCTTCTCCGCTCTTCCTCCAGACTCTGGGTCCTTGATTTCCAAAGGAAATGCAGAACTTGCTTTCATCAGAAAACATAACTTTGGACCACTCAGCATCAGTCCAGTCCTTTTTGTCCTTGGCCCAGGCGAGACGCTTCTTGCGCTGTTTCTTGTTCAAGAGTGGCTTGACACACGGAATGCGACACCTGAATCCCATGTCTTTCATGAGTCTCCTCGTGGTGGTTCTTGAAGCGCTGACTCCAGCTGCAGTCCACTCTTTGTGGATCTCCCCCACATTTTTGAATGGGTTTGTCGTCACAATTCTCTGCAGGGTGCGGTTATCCCTAGAGCTTGTACACTTTTTTCTACCACATTTTTTCCGTCCCTTCGCCTGTCTGTTAATGTGCTTGGACACAGAGCTCTGCGAACAGCCAGCTTCTTTAGCAATCACCTTTTGTGTCTTGCCCTCCTTGTGCAAGGTGTCAATGATTGTCTTTTGGACAGCTGTTAAGTCAGAAGTCTTCCCCATGATTGTGGTGCCTTCAAAACAAGACTGAGGGACCTTTTAAAGGCCTTTGCAGGTGTTTTGAGTAAATCAGCTGATTAGAGTGGCAGCAGGTGTCTTCTATATTCAGCCTTTTCAGAATATTCTAATTTTTTGAGATACCAAATTTGGAGTTTTCATTAGTTGTCACTTATGAATATCAAATTTAAATGTAATGAACATTGGAAATACATTGGTCTGTGTGCATTGCATGAATATAATGTACAAGTTTCACGTTTTGAATGGAATTACTGAAATATTTTCAACCTTTTGATGATATTCTAATTTACTGGCCAGCACCTGTATATAAAAGTTGTGATTTAACATATTTATCTAAGTAAAAGCAAGACATTGAAGGTAAATGATTCATGCCAAGATAAAGGTGTTTTTGCACATTCGATCTGTGGCAGAAAAAGTGAAAAAGTGTGTGGCTCTCGCTATTCACCGTAGCAAGATCAAGCTCATTCTATAAGCTGAGATACAAACCACATCACCCAATCACAAAATCACTCATAATTAGTTCACCCAATCACAAAATAGTCATAAATAGTTGCTAGGTGCAGGCAGGGAAGACTTTCTGCTCCTGGGAGTGTGCTCATTGCTGCTTCCAGGTGGACAAAGTCAAGAAGGGCTCCCACTGGTGCTACTTTGAGGCTTGGCACACATAAACTGTGGCTTTTGGGCATGACACCTTCTTTGTAAATATATGTATATAATGTTGTGGCTTGCCAAACCTGATCCTGTCTTCCGCTGGACGTTTTTGGAAGTAGCAGGTAGACAGAAAGTCTGTAACTCCATTTTCAGCAGTTTTACATGAAAAAGGTCTGAGACATGCCTTGCATTTTTATGCAAGAAACTTGCACTTAACAGTTGTTTGCTACAGCAGACCTTTTTTGGTTTTTTTTTTTTTTACTCATACTCGGTAGTTTTATTCTGAGTGCTGAAAATGGTTTGTTACAAATGTTTGTGGTTTTCACTACAATAAATATTTCTACTCTGATTTAACCCATACCCAACATTAAAGCATTTTTTTGTGCTGGCACATGTATTTTTGTGAATAACTTTGGCTATGTTAATGCAATTTATCTAATTTTTGGGGAGGATGTGTATTTTTGAAGGAATTACTAAAAATAGTTAGAAAAAATCTTCAACTCCCTTTATTATAACACAGACATTTTTTGTAGCGTTAAGCATCGTTCTGCATTTTTTTGCACCATTGACTTCCATGTAAATCATATTTTTATAATAAGCATAAATATTAGCATAATTTGTAAAAAAAAAAAAAACTTTCTTCTGCCTGTGTTCCCAGACCAGTCACACATTCAAAGTTTAGTTTTTACTGTTTTCCACTAGATGGCGTATTTTCTCCATATATAGCAGGGCAATGACTGACACTGTATTTAAATGAAATGATGCTGCTGTGTTTCTTTACCTCTGACTGTTCATTATAATACATATTTTGCAAAAAAAAAATGGTTTGTGTGTTATTTAGAGATTCCATGCAATAGTTTGCATGTGTGGGTTCAGAATTTTTGGTAATTGTGTTTTTACAGTGTTCCTTAAAAAAATAAGCCTTTACTGAAAGTAGAAAATCTGCTCATTCTCAAAATGGCATTTTGACATGTGGCACTCCGTGTGTGCTTGTGCAGGCATGCATGCAGGGATCAAAGCACTTTACAAATCTTCAAAAGACAGATCTGTGATCATTATTTGGAGTGGTTGTGCTTGTGTGGGCAAGGGGAGTGTGTGTGTGTGTGTGTGGGGGGGGGGGGGGGGGGGGGGGTTCACATGCACACTGTAGAGATTGTGAATATTCCCCAAAGGCATTCTATATATGTAAAAAAACAAAGGATTTTCTGCAAAATTTCAGATACTCACAATTTTACTTTTGCAAATTGTTATTTCCACAAGTACAAAGCATTTGCATGGATGAAAATTAAGATGAAGGTTGAAAAACTTCAAAGGTGTACATTTGTTTTGCAAAACAAATTCCTGCAGAACTGAGTTTGTTTACATACGAGTTGGGGTCTGTTTACACAGGTGCACCAATTGACTAAAAGTACATATGAGACTCAGATCCAGATTAATTTCTTTCTGCCGCAAACGTGAGAAGAAGTTTGAACGCAGATCAACACCTGACATCAGGATTATCTGTCGGCCTCACACTTCCACCATTGTGGGATCATCCGCTTCGCGGACAGCTTCGATTTTTTTAACAAGAACAATTGTAAGTGGGTTTTTTTTGTGCTCAAAGAACATTAACGTTAGAAAATTAAAAGGTTGGGTAAGGGTTAAATTTTAATTTTGTGTGTACGTTCAGGTTCGGTGTGCTAATTCAGTATGACAAAATGAAGAAATGACTCCAAATTCACATAGGTGAGGTTGTGCTGAAAAGAATGATACCAAACAAGGCTTAAACAATGAAATATAGATTGAAATATAAAGGTGAACACTTAAACTTGTCAAAACAGCTGATTACACCACTGACTCCAGAGGGTTAACATAAACACTACACATTGCCTCTTTAATAATGTTAAAATCCATTTGATTAGCACAGCTTTTGTTTTAGTCCTGTTTACAACGGGAGCCACCCAAAGCTGCTTTTTATTCTGTAGATGCTGTGTTTTCCATCAAACTCACTCTCACATCAATGATACATTAGGTGCAGTTGTTAGGTTCAGTGTCTTACCCAAGGACATTTTGGCATGTGGACCAGAAGCCATGAATCGAACTACCAACCCTGCGATCACTGTAAAACTCACTTTTCATCCTGCTGCCCCAAGGCCAAGTCAGACTGTCCATTTTTGTTAAAAACAAGAACATTTTTCAACTTTGTCTCTCAACAAAAATATATTATCTTTCTTCCATTTTTATTACTTTTTGAATGAAAACAAAAAAAAGTTGAGTTGTTTAAACAGCCGATCTTTTCACTTTTATGCGTTATCTTCAGTAGTCCACACAATAAAAGACAATGAGCTACATAACTGTTAGATTAGTCTCGTCACAGCTGCAATTAATTAAATTTGCTCATCAATATTTACTGTCATCATCGCTTCAACAGGGTTTAATAGAACAGTTTTTTTATCCTGTCAAAGTCTTTTTTTAAGTCTATGCAGAAATGCTTTTATATGAAGGCTTATTCATATTGTGAGGTTATGAAGTTCATCATTTTCAGCTCCACACAGCTGCCCCCTGTGCACAGTAACACCCGTGTAGAAAAGCCAAGGTCGGGTGTTCCTCAGACTGTTTACATTCCAGGAGAAGAGCCAGAAGGAGGAGAAGAAGCTTTACTTAATCAAAGTACTTTATTTGTGATTAAAAATATTAAGCAAAACAGATATTGATCAATAATAATCAAGTGAATGATCTGTGAAATAAATATGTCATGATTTGTGTTTAATGAAAACAGGACTATTGCACAGACAGACTGATCCTCATCTCCATAGAAACGCATGACACATTGTTCCAACCAATCAGAGCTTTCGGCTGCCGCAGGAGAATCTGGCTTGTTGACTTAAAGTGTCCAATCCCCTTTACTAAAACTTATCAACAATTCAGAGATATAAAACAAGGCAACGCCATTTTAAAGTCAGTTCCATTTTGACTTCAGTTCTATTCACCGTCATCCTAAAGAAAAGCACAGCCTGGCCAGATGTGTTTTCTTCTTTAAACTAAGAACTGTGAAGTTGGAGATTTTCGTCGTTTAACAACCAGACGACATCCTTTCAAAATAAGAGCACCTGCTGACGCCGCCGATTGGTACCGGGGTCGACCCTTCAGACGGGCTTTGAAACGCTGCGACCGCTGCGCCGACAGCTCCAGCGCACATCCGAGGTCTCCAGACCTGGCATTTCCTGATCTACATGGGAGGCCCCCCACTGGGTACGTACACGGCAAAATAGCAGCTCATGTCATCACTTTATAAGCCTCGTGATATCTAGTCATAACAAAGACTACCAGATTCAATGACGTCAGCCTAAGGAGTCTGAACCAACCACACACACACGCGCACGCACCAACACAACATCCAAATCCATTTTCATCCATCACAGAGTTAGTCCTGGTAGATTGTTTAGAATTTATAATTAAGAAATTAAAGATTCTCAAACGATCCCATCTCTCTCTCCTTTCTTGTCTCAAAGTCAATACAGAGTGTTTAATTAAACTCCCTGATGATAAAAACAGCCTATTCTTCTGATTATAAAAAGTGATCTACTTACAGTGTATTAAAATACAACTCTAGATAGTTACATCACTCTATTCCGTTACAATATTCTTGTGTTAAATGTTTTTCCATGAGACGTTTCCATAAATATTGTTTGCCCTTGAGGTTAAAACAGCAAGTAGACTCCTCTCAAACATAAATTACCATCTTTATACAGGTTTATGCTTATGTGTGCATCAAATAAACTCCACTGCTTCAAGTATATAGAGATATTTTCTAATACATAAAACAGAGAAGTGGCTGTTTCTGTACACAGAGTGATAACGTATGCATTCGCTCTCTTTGTTCTCCTTAAATAACACAAATTGGATTTGTTGTGCTGCTATACAGAGATGTTACTTTTCTTAAGTATGAATAGTGAGCATACATTCATCTGTCGCTTTAGTTTATCATTCAATGGTAAACCTGGAGTGTATGAAATTTACTTCTTTAATTAAATCCAGCTTTTTTTTGGTTAAACTGACACATCACCTCCTTATCTTATTTTTATCATGAATCAGTAATTTTCTTTAAAGTGGAACTTCACTGGAAAAAATAAAAATAAATATATATATATATATATTTTTTCTTATTAAGTCATTCTGAGTTTCCAGTCGGAGTCGAGGTGTGCAAATGTCTGGAAATAAGACTCTAAATCCTGCCGTGTGGCTGATGGGGCATTCTCCTTTAGGTGGAGTAACCACACCATGGATTTGGGGGTTTAAGCTTGGTAGTGGGGAGGAGGTTGGATGGGTGGAGTTGCCAAACCCTTTCAACCTCCCGCTCCAGCCCATGCTCTGCCCCTAATTTTAACTAACTATGACATATATGGTTGGGGCAGTAGAGGATGGGGTATTCTGCTATCTGCAAGTAGTAGGATCACCCCATCTTGATCACCTCCTCCAATTTTAATGCATCCTAGATATATACTTCACCACACACTGACATGCCGCTTGCTGCTTATTGCCCTGGGGCTGCTACCAGAATGGAGAGGGCCCTCTGCTACTATGGCAGGGGTATTCAGTTCCAGGCCTGGAGGTCCGGTATCCAGCATGTTTTAGTTTTAACTCTGCTACAACACACCCAATTTCAGTCTGCAGGTGATTAACAGGCCTCTGAAGAGCTTGATGAGCTGCTGTACAGGTGATTTAACCACTGAATTGGGTGTGCTGGAGCAGAGAAACAAAGAAAACATGCTGGATTCTGGCTCTCCAGGACCAGGGCTGCCCCAGACTCTAGAGCAGGTGGCACCTGGCCTGTTGTGGGGCATCCCCTCTCTCATCACAGACACACCAAATGCTTTTGAATAATAAACGTGATTCTATAACACCTGTTCATGTTTGTCTGAATTTTCATCTGTTTTTATTTTTTCATTAGTGAAAACAGAAGTACAAACAAGCATCACCATCTAAGAGCTTGGTGTACAGGTGCTGCTGAACTACCGAAATAATTTGTAGTTCCACTTTATCTCCCTTCATCCCACCCTCAGAATAGGAATAAACGGTTAAAAATATGATTATTTTTTTTGTTTTACAAATTCCTTTTTTGAACTGTTGCCAAAATTAGACACGTGGCCACATCCTGTTCGGTGGGAGAAGGACGTGTGGCATCAGGGAACCTCTCTCTGATTGTGGATAACAAGCTTCATTGCAACTTTGGGTGGCGCCAAAGCTTTAGAAATGAGGCGAAAAACCTAACCGACACAAGGAATCGATTTATCCTACTTGAGAACCGTTTATTTTTCACCGTTTCCACGTCGCGCTCGCTGGGTTGGATGAGACTTCAGCAGGTGATTGCTCACCAGGAACGGTGAACATCTTTCATCGCTGAGGACCGCAGTCCATTCTCCTTACTTGATTGTTTCCCTTCATTGCTTGTGCGCGCAGGTTGGAACGAACATGAGAAACTTTGCCTTCTGCGCAGGGGAAAGTGAGCGGCACGCTTAAAGAAGTGGAGACATTCAGAGAACACCGGGAGCTGCCATCCCCTCGCTAGGAAGATTAGAGGGTTGACGACATCCAACAGGATTAGGTATTGTGCGGACTAACTCATCACTCCCACATCTTTCTGTCTAAAACATTGCGCAATGACCTTTGCTGCTCTTGGAATACAGCGGGTGCGCCCCTGAGGTAAGGGCATCATTTGAGAACATTTGGTTACCTTTTATTTTCTTTTTCCGTTTAAAGAAGCTGATACAGAAAAAAAAATCTGTTGGATTTATTCGAATGATCTCTGGACATGTGTCAGCGAAGCACCCGTACAACTTTATCCGGGGGAAATTAACGCGTCAGGCGTTCTGCACGAAAGGTTTATGTAATTTGCAGGACGTGCACGACTTTTGAGACGAATAGTGTCGTTTTTTCTCTGCACTTTTTTAGAAACCATGCAGGAAAGCGTCTCGACCTCCACCTGATAGGCACCAGATATATTAATATGTGTTTCCCCTCACATTTGAATTAAGACATTCTATTTTATCCACTCTGTAAACCAAAGACGTATGGTTGGATTGAGAATCAGGAACAATCATAAAACACAGACGAGATTGACTTTCTCCTCCTTGCAAAGTATAATTTTTTTTTCAGCTAGGTGTCCCTGCACTGGATCAAGTAAATTTCCATTTTATGCATTCACTGCCTTAAATATCGAGTGCACAGAGAGCTTTAGGTGTATATAGATGCCTTAGGCTGCAGCTTATACATCTATGCAGGTTCATAAGTACTAAAGCTGTTGGAATTGATCTATTCTGGAACTTAATTGCATGAATGCTAACTCCCTCCCTGCCTCTGTATCCTCAGGGACACTGATAAGATCAGTTGGAAGTTTTTAAAAGCTTCCATAGCAGACATATATTGCCTCAGTGAGGCATATTTCTTAATTTGACTTTATTTGTGTTGCAGTAAGCTGCAGCAGATTGGCAAGCATTCATCTGGCAGGATACAGTCGTACTGTCTCCTGGAGAGTAAGCATAGTGCTGCTTACAGTGAGCATCTAGAGAAAGCCACAGGATCCAATTAGCCATTGTTTGAAGGATGTGTTTAAAAATCTCTCTCTGTCTTTCTGTAGTGGTATTTTGTGTATTTCTGTGGGTCTCCTATAGTAGGTAAGGGTATAGGGAAAATAAAATAAGAAGGCATTGCTGCTAGATGTCTTCCTCAGTCTGGAGTTTGCCTGTTCTTTCCAGAGGCACACATTTGGGAAATGAGAGATGAAGAGTAGTGTGACTGAGGGCAGCCAGAGTCCATTGATATTCTGCTTGAATCCTGCTCCATAGGCAGCCCATTGTCATGGCTTGCTCACCGGGATAGCTTGTGATGATTGAAGTGTTTGGAAGAGGGTGAAAAGCCAGTGTGGAAAAAAATGCAGAAAAAACAAATAAAAAAAAACTAAGCTTGCACTTTTGCAAATTGTTACATTTGGATAAATACTCTACGCCTGTCATGTGTATATTGGATCTGGATTTGCTTGTACTCCACATCTTTCATTTCCTCTCACCCTACATGGCACAGGAATATGTATCCAAGCAAGAAGAAGGCATTTGAATTTTCAAAGGTTCAGCATTCCTGATGTCAGGAGCAACAATGCTTCGCTGTCGGGCCAAACAGCCTGCGGACAATTCATGACAAGTCAAGCAGAGATATTTATCTGTCGTGCTGTGTAAAATTGCTGTTGTCCGCGGTAGACTTTGTCCAGAGCCATTTAGAGACAGATCCTCTGCAGCTTGGTGCGATAACGTGGTAAAAGAGAGGGCTTTACTCAGTCAGAGAGTGTGAGGACTAATGGCTATTTTGTTGGAAATTGTCAGCTATATTTAAAAAAGTGAAAAACTTAAGAGGGAAAATCAAAAAGAGGTGAAGAAATGCAAAAAACGGTTTGGAGAAACTACAACAGGCTGCAGGAGGATTTCATTCTTGGCTCATAGGGGGATTTTTGTCACAATCGCTACCTTCATACCTCTCAACACATCTGCTAAAGCAACTCTTGATTCATTTGCAACGTAATGACATTTTTAAGGATTCTTCGCCAACCATTTCTTCTCCCATGTCTGTGTGAAATGTGAATAAATCCTCTGAAAAAAGATCTCCTATTGAATGAATAATCTACTCTGATAAAGCTGCAATGTGACAGCCCGACGTGAAAATCCATGGCAAAGAAAAGGTAATTATATTTGCAGTTTGCAGGCGCAGATTGTTAATGTCAGTGTCTGACGAAACTAAAAAGGAAAAATGAAGGAAAAACTTTACCTTATGTGGAAGTATGAGCAGAAACTCCCACTCTTAGAAAAGTGGAGATACTATAAAGCTGGAATACATACTATGGCAATGGTATTCAATTCTGGGCCTGGAGGTCCGGTATCCAGCATGTTGTAGTTTTAACTCTGTTTCAATACACCTGATTTCAATCAGTAGGTGATTAACAGGCTTTTGCAGAGCCTGATGAGCTGCACAGGTGATTCAACCACTAAATCAAGTGTTTAGGAGCAGAGGAACCACTAAAACATGCTGGATACCGGCCCTAGGACCGGAATTGAATACTACCTCTGTTTACTATGGTACTCTACAGGGAACAGAAAAGCTAGTTTGTGGGTACACTTTTCCAGAATGTTCTGGTTAGATGTTCTGCAAACTGAATGGCAACTGTCCCACTTGTATACGGCATGACCACCACATTTAAAATCAAAAATCTCCATTTTCTCCAAGCTTCAGTCATGACCTGAATGAGTCACACTAGTGCAAATCTACTGTGGTTTGTTTTCTTGGTGGAGGCTGGGTGTTGTGAAGAAGACGGAATGAGCAAGTCATCCCCCCCCCCCCCCCCCCCCCTTCAGATTTGAGGTCATAAATGGACCCAAAACCAGAGAGAAAATAGATCCTGAGAGAACATTTTAAATACCAGCATGCCCCCAAATCACAGCACACATGTTCTATTTTACATTTGTTTGCAGCAATGCATTCATCAGAAGGTGTTCTAGTGAAATTCAAAAGTGTTTCTGACTTTTCTTTATAAATTATGCAATATTTTGAAAAGTTAAAAGTAAGGGTCATACGCGGTTGCTGGATGCCCCAACAGGTTGGTTTGGTCTTGCAATAAAAAGTGTGGCGTTTCATCATCTGACATGTTGTAAGTGTGCAGCCAGAAGCTTGTGGCAAAAGCTCGACTAAGCCGCTTGGCCAGCAGGTGTAGCTGACATCCGTGTCTCCGCCAAAGTCAGGCAGAAGATGACTAAAGCAGTGTTTATTAAACTAATGGAAAGAAGGATTTGAACACAGATCTACGTCGTATGCATGCTGCTGGTTTCCCCTTCTTCATTTTCACGATGAAACACACTCATCGGATGCCCCTGCACTTGTAGAAAAGAGATTGTTCTTGGTTGAAGGTTTGTGAAACTATTTCATCATAAAAGTGTGGAAGAACGTCTTCTAACACATCTTATTGTTGTAGGAAACAGAAAACCCAAAGAAGATTCAGACAGAAAGGCATTATGAAACTTTTCTTGTGTTTTCACCTTACTTCAGTAACTCCTGGTGGGACGTGCTGCCTTATGGGCAGAGGCAGACCTTTAGTGTTACTGTTTTATTTTTTAGGATTCTGAGTGTTTGGCTGCATTCAGTAATCTGTCTGAGAGCGAATGAAGAAGGAAAACTTGCTAAAGTGTTTTAATGAGCTCCAGAGAGATAGAAGAATAGTCGATTGGCTCTCCTGAGATGTTTTCCTCCTTTTTCTTTTGTGTAATACTTCTACTGTAGGTGCCAATAATTAAGAAACTACGTAAAAGTGTTAACTTTCTGCTGATTTGCTCTTTCTCATAACAGAACAAAACCACCATGCTGACACCAGTTGCAACAGATTAAGTTGAGCACTTTTTTTTATTAAGCCTTTGAAATCATAATGCATATAATTAATATTTCTATGATCTTCTATTACAATCGGCTTTTTGTTTTTCTAATTAGGCTGTACATTTATTAGCATTAAATACAATGTTAAACCTGGATCTATTTATTTCTGACATTATGGAGGCAGTGCATTAAGTTTAAGAAAAGAAAACACAAGTCCCATGGTGTGTTGTCACAACTTAAAGTGGATATGGCAAATTTGCTGGCAGAGACACAGTTGGGTTCTTGCCCAAGGAGCAAATTAGGACCTAATTTTACTTTCATCTTAGCCCAGTTTCAACTCCTGGGGAAAATAGGAGACTACATTAGCTCAATGTTCCATTACAGTAACTATATCATAGACCTTTCATTTACTTGTTGCAGGGTTTAGAGCAGTTTAGATACAGAATAAATAAAGCAAATGCCTTTTGTTATTTCTACAGGTTAGGGCTGGGGGTAAACGATTATTTTTAAAACGATTATTCTGACGATTATTTTATCGAATAGTCGACTATTCTAATGACTATTTAGAAAATTAATCTAATGATTATTTTTCTATTGCACAATTAACAAAAAACAGAACATCTCAAATAAATTCCTCAAAAAAATTGATAAATTCTTACTGTAAGAGAATAAACACTACAGGCCTTCCATTTTGTATAACACTGCTTTTATTGTGTTGCGGTTGGTTATGTTCTGGTGACGTGTAGAACTTGGGAGTGCAGGCTGCTGCCTGAGAGGTGGTTGGAGATGGAGTGTCTCCATGCTGCTTTGTTTGGGTCACTTATGTGCGTGAGACGAGTGGTGTTACGACCCTTCCTGGGGAGTTTGGCTCGTGTGCAAAAAGGAAGGGACAATAACGGGATTTAAAAGTTAAAATGATGATCAGGTTTATTTACAACAAAAAAACATAAATCTTTCCATCCACAGGTTGGGAATAATAAAACAAATTCTGTCTGTGGGGAATTAAAACAAAAGTACAAATAACTAGGGATGTCCCACTGGGCAAAGATTACAGGGTTCTGAACCAAAATAAGGATCTCCAAAAGTCCAAATTCTAAACTGGGTGGTTAAACCAAACTCAAAGTGATATTTTACACTAAACCGAAAACCCACAACACTCTAAATGTAATAAAAAGGAGATCTGCACCACAAAAAAGATGAACTCTAAACCAAAACGTAACAGCTTATCCAAACGCAAGAAGCTGTTAGCGAAGATGCTAACAGTAGCTTTACCAACATTAAGTTCAAGTTACCAA